ACTTGTCAATTAATGGCTTCTGAATAGAATATTGTTATTGAAATCACCATATGAATTGAAAATATACAATTTTTCATAAAATTATTTTCAGTTTATTCATCATGTGCTCAAAACAATCTCGTTTTTCTGTGTTAAATCGTTACCCCTCCTAAGTATTCACTTTCTCGGAATAGTCCTACTCGTAAATGAGGAATTTCGTCGAACAGAAGAGTCTTTCTTTCATAACTCTATCGGTAATTTGATATTCAAGAGCGTTACTTTACAATCTTTGAAGTTACAATGCTTACATTATGTATTAAAAGCCACCACTTGAATGCCAAGCGCCAAGAAGAATAGTGGCCACATTAAAGGCATACTAATATTTTCTCGATATTCACTTGTTCACCCCAGTCAAAAACCAAGCGGTTAGGAAAGAAAAGGTGTGCTCACTTCATGAATGATTCAAAATGAAGGACCATGCATAAGTGCATGACGGTATAAAAATATTGTAACAATTTGAAGTGAATTTTCCAATATCAAGCAGTTAACAAAATCTGATTTCACAAAAAAAAACTACATTTCAAATGATTATCAGAGTTAAATGTGAAGAAACAAAAAAGGTATTTCAGTAATCCAAGTTACAGTAAAAGGTTACCCAAAGCAAAGAATAACAAATACGTCTTTTAGAGAAACTAAAGAGGAAATCTCTGTATGAAAGTCAAAAATATAGCTGTGCGTGACAAAAAAGTGGACATATCTCACGACGGGAATGAGGCAAAAATAGAGACGTTATTTTTTTTGAGAAGAAAGATTTCTGGCTTTTCATTTCTCCATCTTCATTTACAAAAATCAAGGTTCTCATCATTCTCAAATATCAGTATCAGTATATTCATTTTGTGCACAAAATGTTTACAAGAACACTGTACAAACTATATGAGATTTATGGAAAGATTGAGCTAAAAAAAATTACATTGAACATGAAATGGTGAATTTTCAAATGCATACATAAAATTATTATTGATATTGAGTCATTTCTTACTTTTTCTATGTTGTTCTGCATTTTTTTTCTGTGTTTTTATACGATACGACAAGTAGTACACTTAGAAAGATGAATCACAATTTCAATCCATTATGGACACATGACATACATTATAATAGATAGATAAACTTGATATTGTCTTTCAAAAAACATATTACTGTGAGCTATTCATTATTTTATATTCAATTTATCTCTTATTTTCCATTTTTTTACTTGCCTGGCTCAATTTCCATCTGAGATAGACAAAGATCAGAATAAAATAAAAATAGGAAATAAGTAAGACCACATAATCTAGATCTATTGATTGATTCAATTTAAAAGAAGCCCCGGGACAATTCACGACAAATTAATGTTTTTGTGTGTGTCTCTTCATTGAGTTTTGTTTGAGGCAAAATGAACAAGAGTAGGTACTGATGATTTTAGATAACTTCAACTTTTATTCCAGTGATTTCATATTTTCTGCTGAATTTCTAGAATCATCAACAAACTCATCTGGCTGTCTGAATTTTTATTACTCAACAGCATTTCCATCAAAACTTGGTGAAGAGAGAGATAAACAATAAAAATACACACATGGGAAAAGTCTAGGGATATTTTAAAAATGGCAATCATTTTATTTTAGATCGCTTTAGGGAAAAAAAAGTTGACGGGNTCCGATGCGTGTAAATAAACATAGAAAGAAATGAGTATTATAGAGGAGAAATGAGAAATTGTTCAGATTCAAGATGTAAGATGGTCCTAAATACACACCTAATTGAATCATTTGATGAAAAGGCACTCGAAAATTAGACATTTTAAAAAGAAAATATGCTGTTGAACAAAAAGATGTGGTTTTCTGAAGAAAATATCAGTATGCTTCGATTTCACTCACTTAACAATTTTTTTGAATCTGCTTACATTCATTTCTTCTCGACAACTTTTCTTATATTCGTTTCTTGTATGAGGTTTTTGTCTTATCTTATCTCTCAACGAAATATATGAAAAATAATAATCAAGTTATTTAAGAGAAGCTAAAAAATATAATTTCTCCCTAGCCCTAACCACAGAAAGATCATCCCTAATCTTCCTGTAAACGCTAGTTCGAATAGAATTATTGACGTCACAGAGACACTCCTCTTCTTCGTTCACCCCGACCTTCGCGTCTTAGCCCCTTGTCGACAGTAGAAGAACACGAAGGCGCACATTTGAATGAACGATTGTAAATAGTTAGTGACCTATGAAACGACATTTGTTTGTGTCTGGTGCCCCGAGTGGATACGGTCTTTCTAACTGAAGACTTCGAGGAACTGTAGTGCGGGTGTCAGTGTCGAATATGCTGAAGTTCTGCTCGCCACATGGGAAAAGAAGGGAATACTTGGTAGGTCTCGAACGATATTCTTTTTAGATGTAACATTTTACGCAAAAAGCTGCATGTTGACTATTGTTGAACATAAAGCTCTTGAACATTTCGAAGAAAGTCCCGTTGGAAAAAAGTATCGTGATTTTTCGAAAAGTTATTCCAAGAAATTTTCCACCGACCTCCGATTTGACAAATTGCAACATGAAAGTACCAAAGAATGAGGTGAATTTTCATTTTTCCCAAAAAATATTAATTCGGTTTTTGTCTCTTCAACCGTCGCGAAACGCCGTCCTTTCATAGGTCTTTTCAATCCTGGGAACTAAAAAAAGTCTCGTGGGGCCAAATCTGGTGAATACGGTGGCTGAGGCATGATTACGGGGTTGTTTTCGGCAAAAAATTACGAACTACAAGAAATGACGAGTGAGCAGGTGAATCATGGTGATGTAATAGCCATGAATTAATTGTTTTTTCACAATTCCAGACGCTTTCTTCGTATTGCTTCCCGCAAACGGCACATAATTTCAAAGTAATATTCCATGTGTCAAGAAATCCTGATGCACTAGGCCACGATTATCGAAGAATACAGTGCTAATATTTGAGGAGGTAATTCTTAAACCCATTTTAAGGAAAAAACGTCCTATGAACGTATGTCCTAAACGCCTTAACTTTTGAGATACAGGGTGACAAAGTTTTCAAAAATAATCAGTTTTTTAATAATAACTGAGATAATTAAATGGGTCTAAGAATCACCTCCTTAAATATTAGCATGTGTTTAAGGAACACCCTGTATATTTGTTTCCTTTACCATATAATTGCAAACAGAATAAACAAATATCAATACTTGGATCCCTGGTTTTCTGAACTATAGCAGTTTGTTTTCAGATCTATATTTATATTTCTGACTGTATCCAGCCTGTAACGTATGCAACGCTCACTGCACGTGTGAAGTTTTGTTTGCTGCGCGCAAATAACAGACTGGTGAATCATTTCGGTTTTGTTTTTCGGTTTTGAACCAGGCAGTCGCGTACATTCGTAAGTCGACTGGTGGTAAAACTCCGAGAAATAAATTAACTACTAATTATCCGGCCAAATTAGACCATAAAATTGGAGTGAAGGTACAAAACTTCGGACCCAGCTCAGAAGAGGTGGAATTGTTTGAAACACTATCATAAATGAAATCGAAAAAATTCTCATCATTCTGAGCAATTGCGACAATATTCCAAATACTCATTCAGATCGTACGGTGTAATATGAAGTAAGAAATCTTTAGTTTTTTCCCTGAAAATGTGTGCCTGATTCATTAACTTCAATTCAATGAAATAATAGTACTATTTATGGGTCATTCGAATACCTTCACTTTTCCCCGCTTTACTTTTTCCGCGTCACTGGATCAGTGGGAGATGACCGTTTTGGCGAGAGTTGACAATTTTTCGCTTGATGAAGGGTTTCCATATGTTGCGTATCTATACGCTAGCTTAGACGAATACGTTATTAGACAACATATATGCGGTTTCTTTGAATTTCCTCCTAAACCAATGTTATGGTGATGGGCCCAAACATGCTCTATTATTCCTGATTTGCTGGTTTCACTTCTTGTATGTCTTTCTTGTGCTCGGCAATGCGAACATTCAATGGCCTCTTAGTTTCACCAATATAGGAATTTCCGCACTCACTGAGTATCGGTTAAATGCAATTATTGGAATCACAGTAAGCGTTTATTGGGCTGATTTTCGTGAGGCTGCTACGGATAGTGTTTCCGGATCTGAAGCAGGTTCTGATGTTGTACTTGGAACCAATTCTTCTCATCCTTTCCGATAATCCTCTGATGTAGGGAAGTGCAAGCACTGGTTGTGACGGCTTCTCTTCCTTGCGAGGTTCCTGCTGTCTTTAGCCAAAGTCTGATCTAACATTGCTTTGGAGTAACCATTCCGTTGAAGATCATTTTTGATGATGTTTAGTTCCTTCTCGAGACCTTCCTTCGTGAGACAGAGCCCAAAAGCACGGTCTAATAGAGTCTTTCTGATTCCCCTTTCAGTCGATTGATGGTGGTTGAATTCGTGGTTCAGATACTGTCCCGTATGAGTGGGTTTGCGGTATACAGATGTTTCCCACTTAGTGTCGGTCCTCTTCACCAAAACGTCTAAGAATGGCAATTCGTTGTGGATTTATTTCTCTATTGTGAAAGTGATGGAAAGTCTTACGCTGTTTCAATTCTTTCAGGGATTTCAAATCATTTCATATAATATCAGACAATGGAAGTCCGAACTAATTAAATTGTTTCAATAGTGATACATCGCATGTCTCCTCGTTGATATCAAACGAATCCTCAACTGTTGGTGATTCAAAATTGGAGCACGACCCACCTTTTTTGCAACCACATTTACCACTTCGTCCCTTTTTACAGTTGCCGTTTTTTTTAACGAACGATGTTATTAGTAGAGTCGCATAATGTTTGATATTCTTTTTTGAAACTAGGTAGACCTGATTCAGAACTTGTTTTTGCAATTGAGAATGTTATCAAACAAGTTGCTGTCAACAACGGTTACGAGGTGAATATTATTGACTCAATTTTTCTAGAAATTGCATATTTGCCCGACAGAATTACTCAAGCCAAAATGTAAGGTTAGTCATTTGTTGTTGCAGGTCAACCCAGGAAGTAAGGCGGCGCAAAGAGGAATCAGGGAAGGTGACTTGATATCTTCAATAAATGGTCAGAGCACCAAGGACTTGTCCAACTCAGATGCCCACGGGCTACTCAGGAAGTCTGGACCTCGCGCCAAATGACCGAACCATCGACAGGAAGACGAGGCCCAAAGGATGGTATTGGACGTGGGCTAGTAATGCACCACACTAATTTGTTTACTGAGAGAGAGAGCTATTAGATGAAACTAGTTATTACATACGAGTATGATGAGATAAGCGGGAAATTTTGTTGTCGTTGGATTTATCTGATAGAAGAATGTACAAGGGGCATCGAAAAAGTAGGATCTTCAGACATGTGGAGCCCGTTGTTTTGACGATCCCAAATCATGTCTTAGATGCCATTGCGAATGAAGAACTTACAGTGAAAATTTCTCAATTCCTTTCTTCGAACGTAAAACGTGTTACGTTTTTGTAAAACTCTCCCAATAAAGCGTTTCTTGATTAAATGCTTCTTTCGCCTTCTATTAGACTCGAATAACCCGTGCTACATGTTCTTCGTTCTACTCTGTAGGTCATGTATTATCATTCGTACATTTTTCAATAAATTCTGAAATTTTCCTATCAAAAATGTGTTACAAGCCGGCAGATTGTGAACATAGATTTCCATTTCTAGAGAAGCAAGCGGGTCGCCCAAAAGGAGACAGTATAGGACTGTACACCAAGAAACTCTCCAGGAAACAGTGAAAAGTGAGTTTTTCTGTTCATCGTTAATCATATTGACTGATCTCATATTCTCCTAGGATCGAGCATAACTACGTACTCGGTGAAGAAGACAGTTGAAACGGTTGAGTCCCAATCGGAAAAAAACAACGAAAATTCCTTAACGAATGTAGAAGACAACCCTCGAGTCAACGGTGAGTATTGTAGAAAAAATCAGGAGACGATGGAGACGATGTCGTATAATAGAAAACATTCTGTTTCAACTTTGGACTAAATATGACCTAAAATATAGTGACTATAGTTTCAACAAAAAGATTCAGAAAGGTTATGGTACCCACCGGGATTAGTTTTCAAAATATAACTACCAGAATAGTCAATTTTTTGTCGACGTGTATGAGAATTCAAAGTTCTGAATAAAAAAATGTCTTCTCAAACTCTGCGAAGAAAGCGCAAAGAAATCAAGCCATGGTTATCATGAGCATCGAATAAAAGGTCATATAAACATCATTTTGAAATGTTCACTAGAACTTTCTATTTTATAGTAAATAGGCTAGGGGCTAGGCATCTTCGAAGACCAAATTTCATGTATTTTCTTATAGAGGTTCAATTTGCACTTTTTCACACCTCCAATCGGAACCTTGTGGTACATGCTGCCATATTTGTTTTTCATCCATCCCTTTCCATTTCTGGAAATGCTGTACGTCACGATCCAACTAATACTAACGAAGATACGGCTTAGCGCCGCTAAGGCATGCCGCCATGTTTGTTTTTTCTCTACTCCACATTGAAGTCATCGCCTTCTCCCTCATACGCACACATATGGCATCATCTTCCTCTCACACACGTCACACCTACCTCAAGTTGGGTGTTCCTTAAAGTTCCGATCGAAGTGCAAAATGAACCTCCATCAGAAAAGGCTTGGGATTTGNAATGTAGTAACGACTACATCCATCAATTTGTTTATTATAAAATATGTCAAAAGTGCTGAAAAATTTCATAAATTTGATTCAAAATTGTAATATGGGATTACTTTCAGTGAAATCCATAAATGAGAGCAATTGTTCGGAACAGTTGCGACGTCGCACAGTGTAACCAAGTTCTGGAGATAATGGACAAAAAATATTAACCACTAGTTATTTTGAAATGAACATTTGTATTAAGTTAAGAATTTTTTTTCTGTGCGGTGAACCCGCTCCCACTTTTTTGATATATTAGCCTTTCTAATTCTACTAAATATTTCTCTAGAAACATCGTGCAGATCAAATTGACCCAATATTTGCTCAAAGATTGATTCCGTTTTCTCAGATGTATCTACATTTTTCCAAATTTGAATAAAAAAATTTGTATTGTGTGATGGATCTGAAAATAAAAATCTTTGGAATCTGCAAATTTCGGCAAATTAAATTGCCCTCATCAACTATATATGGCGCGTTTTCGACCGGAGGCACCGGTTGACCTGAAGTGATCCTGTGACCGCGCGCTTTCCGCCCTCTATCTCGAAAACGGTTCAACGTATGACAAATTTTTTCAAACAAAATTTGTAGAGAATTTTGTATTCTACAATATTGATAATGGATACAAATAGCAAAAAACCCATAGGAACTGAGATATTTAGAAAATGAGCGCAAAAAACCGATTTTTGTGACCTTTGACTTTGAAATTTAATAGTTGCGTACACCCTACCATATGTAGGTTTTCAGACAACTTTGAAGGTGTCGATATACAAGTATTTACAGACTTACAGCTGGGTACCTCGAATTCCGAGATTCTTACCTGATTTAAGCCTAAATGACTGGAGTACGTGTTTATTCCAAAATTAACAAAGTAGCTCAACACATTGAAGAGGTTGGCGACCACTGAACTACAATAACACCAATTTTACAATTCGCAATCTTCAAATATTTCATCGCAGACTTCAGACATAATTGCTGTCGGTGAGAGAGTTATCTATGACAAACACTTCCCATATCGACACACCCCGAACTTTAATTAAACTCAAAGCAATATCATAACCGCCTCAAGGTGTGCCCCGAGACACTCATCTGTTCCGCCACCAGCATATTTTTTCTAATCGTAGCACTTTTCGATGTTCAGAGGCCGTATCTTCCGTTGTGTCGTCGATTCTTTCTTCCGCATTAGTCACCGAATGGTCTTTGTCGAGTGAAAAGTGAACTTTACGAGTGAGTGTGCTGAAAGACGAGGGTGGCGTTGAAGGGGTGGAAGGTTATCTCTGAAATGTCAAGCTGAGAGCCGGTGTTGTATGAAACTAAGAGAAAACTCAGTAGAAACTCAGTGAAACAGAATATTTTGATAAAAGCAGCTCATGAAATAAGGGTACACTTGGGACAACAAAAGTTTACACATGCGTCTTCCAAAATGAATAGACGAAACCACGCGACTAATGCTCTGATTAACTTCAGCTTCAAATGTAGGATTTCGTTTTTGACACTCTTTGAGAAGTAATCCAGGCAGATTTAAAGCTAATTCCACTATTGCTATCTCGGAAATGGTTGGATTTGACAAAGGTTTCCTATTTTCGGCAACTAGGACAATATTTTCTCAGATCGAGAATATCAGGAGTTGTTTTTGAAATATTCGCGAAAAACCTGAATTAATTGAATAGAACTGCCCGATACTTGATGAAAATCCATATTAATACTTATTATTACAGTTTATTGTAAAAACTCTTTATAGTGAAAATCATACAATAATAGTATATTATGCAACGATCATGTAATGATGGTTATTAAGACACGAGCATTAACCGGGATACGAAACGAGCCGAAGGCGAGTTTTGTATGGTATATGCGAGTGTATTAATAACCATTACATGAGAGTTGCATACGCTATTTTTTCT